AATAAGAACACTAGTTTTATTGGATTAGGACCCCATCCTATGACTTCATTTAACTTTAATTATCTCCTCAAAGGTCTTATCTTCAAATACAGTCACATTAGAGATTAGGGTTTCAGCATATGAATTTTAGGAGGACACAATTTTACCTATAACACTGTCATAAATTGGAATTGTCTTTGCATTTTAAATCTTTTGTTTTTTAGTCCAAAATATTACAATTCCCATAAGAACTTTGGGGTTTCATATTAATTAATTAATCTGATTGGGTTTAACCTCGTATCTCAAAAGCTATGATCATATTATTTTTTTCTTTAACATCATTTATTTTATTTTTTAAAGATTTTATTTATTCATGAGACAGAGAGAGAGAGAGAGAGAGAGAGACAAAGGCAGAGAAAAGGCAGAGGGAGAAGCAGGCTCCATGCAGGGAGCCCAATGTGGGACTCAATCCCAGGACTCCAGGATCACGCCCTGAGCAGAAGGCAGGCACCAAACCGCTGAGCCACCCAGGGATCCCAATTTACTTTCGTTTAGTTCAGCCATTTTTATGTTCTCCTAAATAGTATTGTTTTATTAAAATAAACTTCATTTTAGAACAGTTCAAGACTTTCGGAAAAATTGAGAAGATAATATAGAGATTTCATATATACTCGACCACATTTTCCCTATTTTAACATCTTACATTAGGATAGTACATTTGTTACAATTAAAGAATCAATATTGTTACATCATTGCTAATTAAAGTCCATATTTTATTCCAATTTTCTTAATTGTTTTAATTGAGATAAAATTTGTGTCTAGAACATGAAGTCTATTTGAGAAATATACAATTAATGTGGCATCTTGAAGATAAAGCTTAATTAAAACATTTTGAAGAACAAAAGGCAAAATTGGAAGAAACTAATGCAAAGCTTCCAACAGACGTAGACTATATGAATATATGACATGCAAACATTTTCTTTGTGTAGGTTTTGTTTCACTTTTTTTATAATGTCCCTTGGTGTATAAAAGTTTTTAATTTTGATGAAGTTCAGTTTCTTATTTCTTTCTTTTGTTGCTTATGCTTTTGGTGTTAGGTCTAAGAATTGCAAACTCCCAAGTCATGTTTTATTCTAGAAGTTTTATGGTTTTAGCACTTATATTTAAGTCCGAAAATTTTTGTATATAGGCGGCATGTATATTCTTGTGATCAAGGTAAGATAACGGGGTATTAAAAATGGCTCTTTGTCCTTTATACCTCCTTCCATTACAGGCAAACCATTTTCTCCCAACCCTTAAATATTGACTGGATTTGGGATTTGCATTGAACAATAGATGTATCAGAAGAAATATACAACTTCTAAGCAAAGTCTCAAGAGACCTTGAAGCCTCTGCTGTCACTTTCTTGTTCCTCTAAGCTTCCCCTGTAAATAAGCCTAATTGATATAGCCTCCTTGACGATGAATGACAAAATAGAGAGGGGCTCAACCTGTAGCCAGCACAAACCACCAGATTTGTGAGTGAGGCTGTCTTGGCCTACCTGTCCTACTCAAGCTGCCAGGTGACTGATTAGTTTGAGATCACATTAGTTACCTCAGACAATACCAAGAAACTCATGTCCCTTCAGCATTCTGCTCTAGTTTTGATTATCTCTAACTTCTGGGCCTTAATCTATGAAATTTCTGTTAGAAAAGTATTATATAAAATCCTAATTATTAATTAGTTTAGGAACTAATAATATAATCATTGAATGCTCATTCTCTTCTCTGCCTGTTTAGTTCTGTGCATTTTCTTTGGGTTTATTTGGATTTTTCTTATAGACCTGTAGGAACAAATTACTATCTTTGGTTTGTTATATATATTTTAAACTTATCCTCTCAGTTTTTTTTTTACTTTATGATATCTATTAGTTAAAGTAAGTTTTTAATTTTAATGTACTTACATTTATCACTTTCCCTTTATTTTAAATGTTTTGCATCTTGTTTAAGAACTCTTTCCATACTGCAGAGTCCTAAAATTTTTCTTATATTTCTTCTGAAATAGTAAATATTTTTGCTTAAGATTTATTTTTAAACAATGTGGAATTGCTTTGTGTGTATGTGTGTGTGTATACCCAGAGAATGGAATAGGTCGTTATTTTCATTCATAAAAATACGAAAAATTACTTTTTTGTAACATTAATTTTATTGGAAAAACCAGTCATTTCTTACAAATCAGCTGTGCATTATCTATCATATATCAAATTTTCATACATAATTGTATCTATTCCTGACTCCATTATTCTACTGGTTATTTTTACCTCTCTGTTACAATACCTTATTTTACTAAACATGCTTCATAATATGTTTCAGTATCTGCTATGGTAGTTCCCTCTTTTTTTCTTTTTTATACTTCTTTGGTTATTCTTGGTACATACAAATTTTAGAATACACTCGTCATATTACATGGAAAACCCATTGGGATTTCAAACAACTGCATTTTTTAAACTTTGTAGATGAATTTAATCTCTTCAAAAGTTTTTTTAGATCCCATTAAATCTATTGTACTGTAACACAAGAAAAGTTCAGTAGTGTAGCAAATACTGAAACTAGTTTAGAGGGGAGGTCTAAATATAAGGTAATGACGGACATGGGCAAATTTATGAAAACATAATGTAAGTTTAAAGTTAAAGTACTGTTTTTTACATATTAATATATTTAACATATATTTGTGTATATGTAATTGTATGTACATGTTCATAGATATAACTAAAAAAAATATATATATAGATCAGTTGGCATGCATAAATTGAGCATTCTATGCTTTCTGCCCATTCACATTTAATTTTCTATTAATTTCTGTTCATATAGTTTTCCCCAAAATTTTTTTTGAATTTGTTATTTTTTATATATGTATAGAAGCATTTTTAATCTCTTCTATCTCATTTTCTCTCCTGTTGGTTACAGTTTTTTTTTTCTGCTTGTACTAATTTTTAACTTATTCATAGTATTCTTTCATAGGGAAATTTGTATGTAAAATCAATCCATTATCTGACAAATTTTGAATTGTTTAACAAAATTTTCCTCATATCAAGATTATTAAAATGTTTTCTTATTTTCAATACTTCTTTTTTTATACTTTGGCTTTTTTACATCTGAAGTTTACCATTTTATGGCATGAGGCACATACTTTACCTCTTCTAAATGATTGTTTAAATTACCCTAATATCATTCATTGACTTGTCTAACTCCTTTTGATTTGTAATGTAAATTTTATAATAAACTAAATTCTCATTCATATAGGTAATGAAATGATTACTTATTTCAGTCCTTTTTCATATTTGGATAAGATTCTTAAACTTCATCTTTCTTTTTTTAATATTTTGGAGAAATATATATATGTGTATATATATATCTTGAATTTTTTATTATATTCACTTTTGTGCATCCCAGCATTTCTGTTATATCTTTAGTAAATTATCTTGTTTTTTATGTTCTTAATTATTCCTCAAATATTTGTATACTCTTTTTTATTTTTTGTATTTATAAATGATGGACCAGACTGATTACTGGTTGTAAGCATAAGTTTTTACTGGCTTTGTTGTTGTTATTGTTGTTGTTGCTGTTATTTGTTTTTTTAGCAGCTTTCAGAGCCTCCTTACATCAAAGACTTTTATCCAGTATATAAAAATTTATACTGGAGTTCTTTGTAAAAAGGAAGTAATATGTTTAGGCAGCTTTTTAATTTAAATAAGCGTACATTTGAGTTTGTTGTAACTCCTTAAAATATTTTCATGCATTGATGCACCAGCTTTTTTTTTTTTTTTTTTACACACTAGTTTCTTTCTATGTGAGATTCTGCTAGTTAGGTAGGCTCTGTTTTGTTTCTCTCTAGAACCACAACTTCCATTCTTAGCCTTTCTGTCTTAGATGGATCTTCAGTGTGGCCAGAGAGGTCTTCTCATGGCGTGACAAGAAGGCATCTACTTGATATGCTTGCTAGTTATAAGGGTGCATTCACCTTATGAAAATTCCCCAGGCTGTCCATTTATGAGATGTGGACCTTACTTTAGGTATCTTATACTTTACTAAAAATATTTTTTTTTGCAAAAAAAAAAAAAACCCAAAAATACAAAAAAAAAAAAAAAAAAAAACCAAACTTCTCAGCCATGTATTCTAGATTTTGAGAATGGAAAGCAATGACTTGTCTGCTTCACCACAGGCAGGCTTTCAGTTTTTTACTTTATCACCTACTTATTATTACATACATTCATGTGCTCCACAGAGAAACCTTTTACCTCTCCTGAAATGGTTTTCATTTTTTCTTCTGAGTTATATTTTTCTTTGCTTTATTTTCACTGATAATCCATCTGACTTCTTTCTATTTCTGGAATTGTATAATATATGTTACAATGATTTTATTGACATATATTTTTCTCAGAAATATTTGTATGACATGGGAATTGAAAAGAAGTAATGTGTCCCAACCTAACATCTGGAATTAGAGATTATCTAAGAAACCCATAAAATTATAACTGTGTATTCCTTGTGTTTTTGGTATTTTGTGTCACTAATGGCCCAGGATACTCTGAGACTATATCTGTAGATCATGACTCCTACCATAGAGTTTATAGTCTAAAATAAAAGAGGGACACTATGGGAAACCAAATATTTGTGATCTTACCCAAGAGTGTTTTCCATTCTTTGGTTATGTATTAAAATTTAATGGATATAAAGTGCCTCTGATTATATGGAAAGTCTTTTGGGAATAAGTGGCATTGAACAGGCTTTTGATGAAGGAATGAGATTTGAAAACGCAGATGAAGGTAGGAACAATTAGGTGGGGATAATAATGAAAGGACTAGGTAGTAGAAATGTATATATCTGTTTTAGAAATAATAGAACATCGTTTGACAAAAGTGTAATGGGGTATGTGAAGTAGTACTTAGAGTTCTATCAGTGATTTCAAATATAAGCTAAGTCTACTATTATTTTTTGAGATATTTAAAGTTTGATTCTTACTGAGATCTTTTATTTTGACAGTTTGAAACTTCTTTTGAAGAATGGTAAGCACCTTTCATTCTTTTAAAATTGTTTTTATGTTTACATTTTAATGACTAAGGTGCTGTATGTGAGTTTTATTGCAAAATAAGCAGGAAATTAAAAGCAGAATTTTTCATATTTGATATTAAAATGTATTTTTTGAAAATATAAGAACTATGATATTACTGTAAATGGTAAAATAGGGATCTCTGGGACTCTGTCCCACCACAAGAAAAGGTTGGCAAACATTGGTTAGAATTGTAGAAATCTGAATTTAGTAAAACACAACAACTAGGGGAAAAGTTAATGAAGAGTCTGTTGCATTGTATTAGGAGAGCACTGTGGTACTATAAATCGCACACTTGCCATCCTCTAGCCCCCAGATCAGTGCTGGCCGTGAAGAGAGCAGTGTGTATTTGTGGTGCAGATTGCTAGTGCCAGAAAAAACAATATGGACCCTTATTCTCAGAGAATTGTGTTTCAGTGTTTTGACCTGTCTGATGGGTTTTCAAAGAACCAGCACAAAGGCTTGTCTTTGTTTTGCCTGACTTTGAGCAATCACTCAGCTGGAACCACTTAGAGGCAGTGTTTACTGAAAGCCTTTAAAGGCATGGTCTTGCCACCACGTCTGCAGCTGTGAATTAACATTTGAGATAAACATTAGACAGATCAAAATGCCTGGAAAAGAAGAGATACATAGGGGAAAAAAGGGCTTTCAAAGCTCTTATATATCCTGGAGAATCAAGAAGGGCATGCATATGACTAAGCTAGGCACATATTCAGGGAAGACCCAAGAAAACCCTGATCTTTTATTTCTGGCTGACCTTAGGGTCTGTGTGGGCAACAATTGAAAGTAGAAGCAGAGTTGTAAACAGTTTGGGTAAGCATTGAAGGAATACTTCAACACAGAGTTAGTCTGCTAAAACTAGAAGAGTGGTTTTTTTTTTCCTTTTCCTTTTCCCTTTTCCTTCCTTTCCTTCCCCTTCTTTCTTTCTTTCTTTTTTTTTTTTTAATTTTGACTCCAGGTATTTAAGATACCTGAACAAAACATGAGTTTACCAGTAAGCTAATGAAACACTTATTTTAGTGGCCACACATGACAAAGAATACAGGCATTACAAAATGTATTTGGAACTACTAAACAAAGAAACAACAACCCACAATAAGTAGCAACAACAGACCCAACAGAGGGAAAGTTATCTTATTTCCATTTCACATTAAACTATTTAAAATGTCCAGTTTTCTACAAAAATTATGAAACAGGCAAAGAAAAAAAAAGTCTGTCTCACTAACAAGGGGAAAAAAAGAAAAAGAAAAATTAAAAAAATGGCCCTAAGAAAGCTTAAATGTTGAACTTATTAGACAATAATTAATTAATAGTCTCAAAGAGGTAAAGGAAACTATGGACAGTTAAAACCAGGAGACTAATGTCTCAACAAATTAGGATGATCAATAAAGAAATAGATGTTATAAAAATGAACCAAGTAGGGATCCCTGGGTGGCGCAGCGGTTTAGGGCCTGCCTTTGGCCCAGGGCGCGATCCTGGAGACCCGGGATTGAATCCCACGTCGGGCTCCCGGTGCATGGAGCCTGCTTCTCCATCTGCCTGTGTCTCTGCCTCTCTCTCTCTCTCTCTGTCTCTCTGTGACTATCGTAAATAAAAATCTAAAAAAAAAAAAAAAAAAATGAACCAAGTAGATATTCTGGAGCTGAAAAGTATAATAACTATATGAAAAATTAATTAGAGATGTTCATCAATAGATTTCAACAGGCAGAGGAAAGAATCAGTGAACTTGAAAATAGGTCAATTGAGATTATTCAGGCTGAGGAGCAGAAAGACAAAAGAATGAAGTAAAATGAACTAATAGATCTGAGGGATACCATCACAAAAACAAATATATGCATAGTGGGAGTTCAAGTATAATGGGGAAGAGAAAAGGGGAAGAAGGAATATTTGAAGAAACATTGGCTGGCTAAAACTCCCCAAATTTCATAAAAGACATGAATTTATACTTTTACTAAACTCAGTGAACTCTAAGCAGGATAAACTCAGAGATCCACGTGTTATGGTCAAATCATTGAAAGCCTGGGACAAAGAATATCTTGAAAGCAGTGAGGGGGCAGCTTGGGTGGTCCAGTGGTTTAGTGCCGCCGTCAGCCCAGGGCGTGATCCTGGAGACCCGGGATCAAGTCCCACGTCGGGTTCCCTGCATGGAGCCTGCTTCTTCCTCTGCCTGTGTCTCTGCCTTTCTCTCCCTCTGTGTCTCTCATGAATAAATAAATAAAATATTAAAAAAAAAAAAGCAGTGAGAGAAGTGACTCATCATGAGTAAGGGATCCTCAATAAAAATAACAGCCAGGGGTCACCTGGGTGGCTCAGTTGGTTAAGTATCTGCCTTTGGCTCAGGTCATGGTCTCAGGGTCCTGGAATCGAGTCCCACATTAGGCTCCCTGCTTAATAGGGAGTCAGCTCCTTCCTCTTCCTCTGCCCCTCCCCCTGCTCATGCTCTTTCTCTCTCAAATAAATATGTAAGATACTTCAAAAAATAATAGTTTATCATCAGAAATTATGGAGGTCAAGGATACCTCGATGGCTCAGTTGGTTAAGAATCTGCCTCCACCTCAGGTCCTGGAATTGAGCCCTGAATTGGGCTTTCTGCTCAAGAGAGTCTACTTCCTCTCCCTCTGTACTCTCTCTCTCTCTCTCTCAAGTAGATAAATAAAATCTTAAAAAATAAAAGGAATTATGGAGGCAAACATCCAGTGGAATGACACATTTAAAGTCCTGGGAGAGGGATCCCTGGGTGGTGCAGCGGTTTAGTGCCTGCCTTTGGCCCAGGGCGCGATCCTGGAGACCCGGGATCGAATCCCACATCAGGCTCCCGGTGCATGGAGCCTGCTTCTCCCTCTGCCTGTGTCTCTGCCTCTTTCCTTCTCTGTGACTATCATACATAAAAAAATAAAAATTAAAAAAAATAGAATTTAAAAAAAAATAAAGTCCCGGGAGAAAAAACAAAACAAAACACCTCAAACAGGAATTCTGAATCTGGGAAAAATATCCTTTAAAAAAAAGGAGAAATTAAGATATTTCCAGATAAACAAAAATTGAGGGGATCTATCTCTAGCAGACTGTTCTATCAGAAATCCTAAAGGTAGTCTTTTAGGCAGAAATGAAAGGACACTAGACAGTAACTTGAAGCCATATGAAGAAATAAACAGTAAAGTAGCTTCAAAAATAGAAAATTCAGTGTGGTTGCATTTTTATTTTGCATCTCTTTTATTTTTCTATATAATTTTTAAATGGATAAAATTATAAATCTATATTAATGGGCACACAATGCATACATATATAATTTGTAAAAATGACAACATAAAGGGAGGGAGCAGAGGTGTAATGGAACAGAGTTTTTTTTTTGTAATACTACTGAAACTACGCTGATTTTAATTCAAACTTAATTTTTATGAAGTTAAGATGATAATTATAGTCTCTAGTGAACCACTAAGAAAAATTCTATAAAACAAAAACATCAACATAAATCCAATAAGGAAACTAAATACATTAGAAAAAAATCAATTAACCACAAAAGAAGGCAATTATGGAGAAATTAAAGAATGAAAAATATTTAAGAATTGTAGAAAACAAATAGCAAATGACAGAAATAAGTCCTTTCTTAATAGTAATTGCTTTTCATGAAAATTGATTAAATTTTACCATTAAAAGAGAGTGATAGAATGGATAAAAATACATGCTTCAATTATATGCTGCCTATAAGAGACTCACTTGAGATCCAGAGACACAGTATGTTGGAAGTAAAACAAAAAAGGAACACTTTTCAATTCATTCTATGAGGCCAGCATTATCTTCATACTAGAACCAGATAAAGACATGACAAAAAGAAATGTAGACCAATGGCTTTATGAATATAGATGCAAAAATCTTTAATGAAGTACTAACAACCTGAACCCAGTAACATATTAATAGAATTATATATCATGACCAAGTGAGATTTCTCCTAGGTGTGTAAGGGTAGTTCAAAATACAAAAAAATAATGTATAATATAGCCACAGTAATAAAATGAAGGGGGGGAAATCCATGTGAACATCTCAAAAAAACAGATTGGAAAGCTGATAAGGGACATTTATGAAAAACCTTCAACTCAAATTATACTTAATGGCGAAGACCAAAAGTTTTCAACCTAAGATCAGGAACAACACAAAGTTGCTTACTCTTCTCACTTTTATTCAACATTGGAAACCTCATACATTGCTAGTGGGAATGTAAAATAGTTTAGCCACTTTGAAAAAAGTTTGGTGGTTCCTCAAAAAGTTAATCCTAGAATTACCATATGACAAAGCAATTCCACTCTGAAGTATGTACAGAAAAGATTTCAAAATAGGTGTTCGGACGAATCTTATATACAAATGTTCATATCATCAGGATTCATGGTAGCCAAAAGGTAGAAATAACCTTAAATTTTTCAGCTATCCAATGGAATATTATTCAACCATAAAAGTAATTTTGATACATGCTACAACATGGATAAACTTCTAAACCAGCATGCTAATTTAAAGAAACCAGATACAAAAAGTTACCTATTGTATGAGAAATTTATATGAAATATCTGTAACAGGTAAATTCATAGAGATGGGAGGCTAGTACTCACTTCTGCAGCACATATACTAAAATTAGAATGATACAGAGAAGATTAGCATGGCCCCTTTGCAAAGATGACATGCAAATTCATGAAGTGTTCCATATTTGAAATAAAATAAATGAGGCTATTCTTCTTAAGTGATAAAAATGTTTTGGTGCTAGATGAGGATGATGATTGCACAATATTGAGTGTAGTAAATGCCACTGAAGTTTACACTTCCAAATGGTTAATTTTATGTTATGTGACTTTTGCCGCAATCAAAATATATGTAAGAATTAAAACAATTTTGCTGGCCCAAAAATGAACACAAATTTAGAATAAAAGACACAAAAATAGATTCAATTATGTGTAATAATTTAATATATCGTATAATTGGTGTTACAAGCCAGTAGGGAGAACATTATTTGCTGGGACAATTATTTTTCTATCTTTACTTTTATTATTATTTTTTATTATTTTAAGAGATAGAATTTAGTGATTCATCAGTTGCATATAACACCCAGTGCTCATTGCATCAAGTGGCCTCCTTAATTCCCATCACCCAATTATACCTTTACACACTCCCCCTCTAAAAACCCACATGCTTGTATGTATGTATGTATGCATGTATTTATTTATTTATTTATTTTACTTTTTTGTGGTGTGAATGTTTTATTTTTAATGAAAATTTTTAGTATAGTTTGCACGTATTGTTACATCAGTTTCGGGTGTGTAGCATACTGATGACTCAACATTTTTTAAAAATTTTCAAATGAAAAAATACACTAGATTATTTAACAAAAATATTTAAAAATGAAATTAAAATAAGGAGGAAAATATAATGAATATTTCCATGACCACATAATAAACAGGCTTTCTTAAATAAATTGTGGAGCTACAATGAGACAAATAATATGCAACCATCAGAAATATTAAACTGTAGTCAAATATACGGGAAACAACGTCATGTACTAAAGCAGCATACAATATTTTATGACTGTAGTTTTATAAAAATTGAAATATCATAAGAATGTTATATCTAAAATAAATGAATTATTGATTATATTAATGTTTTTGGTCTCTTTAAAATTCCTTTAATTTGTAATACTTTAATAAGAAAAAATAATAAGTTAATAAAAATAACACTCTCTGCTTTGTTGTTGATACTATTGTTCCTGTAACTTTTATCAGAGGAAAATACTTCTTTTTAAATATAATGAAAGGTTTACCAAAAATATTATTTATAAAAATTTTTTTTGAAGATATTCATTTGAGAGAGCATGTAATGCAAGGAGTGTGCATGAGCTGTGGGGAAAGGGAGAGGGAGAGCAGGGAGCCTGATGCAGGGCTGGATCCCAGGACCCTGAGATTAAGACCTGGTCCTAAGGCAGACATTTAACCAACTGTGAAAGATTCAGGTGCCCTAGAAAAATTCTTTAGAAAAGAAAGAACATTTTAATTTAGATATTTGCTAAAACCTTATTAATTTCAAATCTGAAGAATCATTTTTGGTCCTTGTAATTTATATGGGACCCCAGAAACTGGTAAACTGAAGTTAGAGAAATAGCTCTTAAATTATTTACAATATTAACCCCCTTTTCCAATTCTTTTTTTTTAATATTTTATTTATTCATGAGAGACACAGACACACAGAGAGAGACAGAGACACAGGAAGAGGGAGAAGCAGGCTCCATGCAGGGAGCCCGACATGGGACTCGATCCCGGGACCCCAGGATCACACCCTGGGCTGATGGTGGCGCTAAACTGCTGAGCCACACAGGCTGTCCATTTTTTTTTTTAACTGCTTTAATATCCCCTACAATATTTTCGGGGCATTCATGTCATAAATTTCTATAAATTTACCATAAGGTATAAAGTCCATTATGATCAGGGAAATACAAATCAAAACCACAATGAGATACCACCTCACAGCAGTGAGAATGGTGATAATTAACAAGACAGGAAACAACAAATGTTGGAGAGGATGTGGAGAAAGGGGAACCCTCTTGCACTGTTGGTGGGAATGTGAACTGGTGCAGCCACTCTGGAAAACTGTGTGGAGGTTCCTCAAAGAGTTAAGAATAGATCTGCCCTACGACCCAGCAACTGCACTGCTGGGGATTTACCCCAAAGATACAGATGCAATGAAACGCCGGGACACCTGCACCCCGATGTTTCTAGCAGCCATGTCCACAATAGCCAAACTGTGGAAGGAGCCTCGGTGTCCATGGAAAGATGAATGGATAAAGAAGATGTGATCTATGTATACAATGGAATCTTACTCATCCATTAGAAACAACAAATACCCACCATTTGCTTCGACGTGGATGGAACTGGAGGGTATTATGCTGAGTGAAATAAGTCAGTCGGAGAAGGACAAACATTATATGGTCTCATTCATTTGGGGAATATAAAAAATAGTGAAAGGGAATAAAGGGGAAAGGAGTGAAAATATCAGTGAGGGAGACAGAACATGAGAGACTCCTAACTCTGGGAAATGAACAAGGGGAACTGGAAAGGGAGGTGGGCAGGAGGATGGGGTGACTGGCTGATGGGCACTGAGGGGGGCACCTGACGGGATGAGTGCTGGGTGTTATGCTATATGTTGGCAAATTGAACTCCAATAAAAAAATAAATAAAAAGGCCCATTATGTATTAGAATTTTGCTCTATTACTCTTATATGGTAGCATTAGCATGTATGGTAAGTTTCACTACAAACATTTCAAGTTTAATGTTAAAGAAGCACCTAAATTTTTTTTTACTAACTTTAAACTTTAAGTCCAGCAGTTATTTATTAATTGATTATTTTTTTCCCTTTACACAGGAGCAGAACTGCTACACAAGACCAGAAGCAAGATTGGAGTGTTGCTACACCAGTGAAAGAGGTTAAACCAGAAGAGAGAGGTAAAGTTGTTCCTTATACTTAAATAAGTGAAATTATATTTTAAAGCTCATTGACTTTCATTTAACACATTTTTAATTTTCACAATACTCATTTTAAGAGTTTTATAATTCTTGTGAGTATCTAATAGAGGAAAGTCTTCTATATCATTTATCAACAAAATTCAGTGAATACGTATTATACCATATACTGATCTAGGTCCTGAGGATGTAGTGATCCCTGACCACCTCTCAAGAAGCTAAACATAATTCAGTGCTATCTAGTAGAATGTACTGAGATAATCAAAGTGTTCTCTATTTCCACTATCCAGTAGAGTAGCTATCAGCCACATACAGTAGCTGCTTGAAATGTAGCTAAGAGGACTTACAATTTAATTTTTCAATTTAATTTTAACATGTTAAATGTAAATAGTCACATAAGATTCATGGCTGCCATATTGGACATTAAGGCTCTACTGTATGTATATTTATTAATATATATTATAATATTTATATGTATAAGTTAAGAGTAATATCTTGTCACAATTTATAAAATGTCCAATATGTATATTATAATAAACTTTGTATTAAAATTACTTCAACATATTTGAATGTATTCTTAATATTATATTAAACACATCTTCCTTCCCTCACCGCAAAATTTTGTTAAACATCTTCCATGAGAAATAACTAATGAATTCAGGACTATTAAAAGTACTAAAATTTTGTTTTTCAAAGCTGTATCTTACAGTGAGGCTCTGTTTTTAGTGTTTACTTTTCACTATATGTATCTACACTGAAGAAAAATCCTCATTCATTACTTAATTTTTCACATGACAAATGCTAGGAGAAGATTAATATGTTAATGGCTACAATAACAGTTAAATTAACTACAATTATGTTTATTGTAAACTCATATATTTGGTTCCAAAGTACAAGACAGTATCCGGTTGAGGAAGATTTATTGTAATTAAGTGTTTGTACTAAAAAAAATTGCAGGTGGTTACCTACCTACTCAGTATGAAACAGTAAGACTAATTGATATGGTATTCTAGAAAAAAATTGAGAGATTAAATACAACGAACTGGAGGCATCTTAGGTCATAAACACAGCATTTATTTTAGAATGCTCTCATAGAAACACTACAAAAGATAACAAAAGATAACTCATACAAACATTATAGACATTTTTGGTAAGAATTATATCACATCAGAAGTGATTTAAGTGGCATTAACTTCATTAAACATTTCAGGCTGAAATCTTTTTATAGAAATTGAATAGATCATAAGTTGGTTGGGGAATACAGTGTTCACTGTGTATGTTACTATGAAAAAAACCAGACAATTAAGGGTATAGAGTGTCCGGGATGTGGTAGAACATGAAAAAAGAAGACAATAAACCAAATAAATAGAGACTAAATAAAGGGCCAGTCCATAAAGAGATAGTTTTTATGCATTACAAGAAGAATTCTTGTTTCCGTTTCTGAAGAATTCTTTTCAGGCAGCATGCTGAATTTCTGTGATAGACCTGCTAGGTTAGAAGTAGAAGCTATGTGACTGAGCTTGCACTTATAACCCATATATAATGTTATCTTCTAGCAGAAAATTATTGCTTTGTCCAAAGTAAAACAAAACAAAACAGAGGTCTATTAGTTGTCTTTTTTCTTGAACCAGTTTTACTGTTTCCCTTAGCCTTAGCGCTTTGAGGCTTTGCCTTTCTTGACACTTTGTGTTTGTTTATGCCTTCTTGTCATGTTACGTTTTGGCAAAAGTCACTGTTTACAAGTATAAATCTCACCAGAGTGGAACCCATATCCATCTTCCTTAGTGATCTATCTCTAGGGAGAGAGCATATTTCCCAGAACATAACAGACCTTCTGTGCATTTCTGGTACAAACAAATGAATGAATACCCATGTTAATCAATTCGTTAACATTAAACCATATCATTTCAGAGCTATGAACCAGGGATCACAAATATCTCTCATTACAGGAGTTAATTTGTGTTGTAACTAAATAAGTGGAGTTTGGAAATGATAAATTCCTAGCAGGGCTAACTAGGGATGTTATTACCTGATAAGGAATATAAAATGTCTTGTTTTCTAGGAACCATTTGAGGATTTTCGATATTTATCTCATGTAATCATTATGATTTGCTTTTGTCATAGAATGAGAGAAAACGCAAACATAATTTACAAATAAAGCTCTCTAATATAGTTTATGAAGAAAATATTTTTGAGATAAAATATACATGAAGATATTGCTTGAAATTTCTCTATTCTAATTATTTTACAAAATGTTGACTTCAAAATCTGTCTTCAAAGATTATAATTAATGTTATGATTGTATTATAATAAAACTGTCTTTGAAAGGCTGATTCATTTTTCTAAAATTCTCTCATTAAACATACAATTATTAAAAAGAATAATAATACAGTTAGTACATATGTTCCCACCACCTACTTTATAGGCTGAGTCACTAAAAAAATGTGATACATATTTCTACTTTAAGATGAAAAGTGTCCAGAATTAAAGCAGGAAATGGAAACATTGCTATCAGAGGCCATTCATCTCATTAAAAGTCTAGAAACTGACCGTGCAGAAGCTGAAGAAGCTTTAAAGCAACAAAAATCAAGAAAGAAAAATATTCACATGAAAATTGACTCTTGGTCAATCTGGAGACTTGAAGAAATCCCACTAGCTGTGCAAAAAGGTAATAGTAAAATTTTTTTCTTATTGCCAGTTACTTTGAGGGCAGGAATAATCAATTGAAGCTCTGAAAAAGTCAACTCTGCCCATATTGTATTGCATCCAAACGAGTGCATTTTGAAAGATGTTATTAATGCTAGCACTGAATTCATATATATAGCTGGGACTGCACTTAGCAAACCTGGATCTTCTGTAGTTTGGTTTTTGTTGGTAATTCCATTGCATTCATGGTGCCCAAGGGACATTCAGATTTTTCACACATATTTCCAATGATGACTACATTATTGCAGTAGTTGAAATTTAGAAATTTAATTGATTTCTAGTTGGTATCATTGACCATATCTTTAAATCTGGGAAAAATAAAAGACTTAAAGTGATATTTTAGCAACATACATCTGCTTTAGAGAATTCAGTAGTAGGTTTTATTCGGAACTTCCAGCAGACAATAAAATTGGAGATGTTCCCAAGAATCATGTAGGTAACAAATGTTTAAAAAGGAAACACTGTTTTTTTGACTACAGAATAAGGGACCTATCGTAAAGTATTAAACAGTCTAAAGGTATTAGATTTTTCATTCTCCAACCACTGCCTATTAAGCATGCCTGACTACTTGATTCACCTGAGGTTGAAACTCTTTTATAAATAAATTTTATATCAGTTAAAAATTTAGGATTCATATGCTTTATAAGTGGGTTATATTAAGGTGCTCATAAACCTGTCATTTAAACTAAGACACTTTTGAGAGGAAAAAGGAGGCTATTAATTATTACTCTGAAACATTAAAGAATGTATCAAACTGAACAGCCACATTTACTTTAGTTTACGTCTTTAAAACTATAGTTTCCAAAGTAAGGTGTATACATTTTAAGGAGTTGCAAGAAAAGACTAGAACTTTTATTTATATTTTAAATTTTATTCTTTTTTTTTTCTTTCTTGATTATTTGGGTTTAATTTTGCTTTCACTGCACCTGATGAAATACAGTTATCCAGCAGTTCCTTGATTATGTTATTTTAATACAATAAATTAAATGAATGCAATAAATTTAATGACTGTTTACTCCTTTTAAAGTAATACTGAGCTCACAGATTGAACTCACTACCTCCTGGAGTAGAACTCAAGAAGCAGTAAATTGCCCAGAGCCTAGACTGGATGAATTTTATTCAGCCTTGTCTGTGCTCTTTTTTGCCCTTTACTAAAGAGTTAATTCTATAAATTATGCAAAAAGTGCTCAAAACTCAAGTAAGAGTAGACCTTTTTCTACCCACACATTAAAGTATGCATTTTACAAAACATTTCATGTCTGTAACTATTTATTAAAATAAATAATTCAGGCTTGGAGTGAGTGTTTTGGTTCACAAAGTTTTTGAATAGAATTTATGCTGTTTATACTGTACTAATACCATAGCATAGGTATGTAATTTATAAATTCATACTTACATACAAATTAGTGTTTTAGAGGCAGCCAGAGGTACAAAAGGATCAGGATAGGCATCCTGAGAAATTCTGGAACCCAGATTTTGAGCAGATTCACATTCACATCTACATCACAAGGAGTTATCTGCAATTTTTTTTAAAAGATTTATTTATTTAGAGAGTGAGAGCACAGAAGGGGCAGAGGCAGAGGAAAAGAGAATCTTAGGTGGACTCCTTGCTAAATGGCAAAGCTTGAGCTCAACAATCCTGAGACCACGATCTGAGCCAGAACCAAAAGTCAGATACTTAAGAGACTGTGCCACCCAGATGCCCCTACAATTTTTAAAAATATTTGGGAAGCCCTTGTCAGTAGTAGAAGAGTCGGTGGTAGCTGGTTTTAATTAACATATTACTGATAAATTTCTACATAACTTCATATGGCCTTTATAAGAGTAGATGCTGTTGTTTGTGGTTTATATGAAGTTCTACTTAAGGAATTATCAAAATAAAATCAAATTGAGATACATACATACACATTCTACAAGCCTTATAAATGCATTTTCAATGATGGAATACATTCTTGCCATTGTTGATAATTTATTACTTGGCTATCTTTTACTTAAAGATCTCCTTAAAGATCTTTAAAAAACTATTGAAGATCTACTTAAAAAACTGAATTATGTTCATCTATTTTATTTAAATAGCTAAAACATGCAATGAAATTTAAATTCATTATTTACTATATAGTTTTTAGATGCCTTCTGTTTGTAAAATATTCCTGAAAAGTAATGTACTTTCAGGAATATATTGCCTTTATATTGATATATCTAAGATATAATTTCTAAATTTTATACTTTTTTTTACAGATTACAGAATTATATATTCTTATAGATTTCAGATTCTCAAAGTCTCTAGCTTTGTGACAGGAAAAACTTTCAATTTCCTTAATCTTTATATTAAGTATGATGTTTATAGAATTTTTGATAATTTTTACAAAAAAAACCCTTATAACTTATTAAAATATTGAGGAAATTCAATTTTGTCTAGATATCTGTGGTTACTCCTCCCTATCCTTTCATCGCCCTAACCAGCCCACTAACACTTGTATCTTTTGTTTCGTGGTTCACGAAGCTGATTCATAATGGACTACATCAAAGATATCTTTTTTACTTTTTTTCCTGCTGGTTCAACCAATGGGCAAGAGACCATGGGAGATAATAGAGAAGGGAGAGGATGGGGTTTTATACATCTGACTACCTTCCTTTCTGCTTGGTCACATCCTCCTCCTCCACAGAATGATAGGCACTGGTACCCAATATGCAGCCAATAATCTAGCAAATGTCTTTTTATTTTCCTATCCAAAAAGATCATCAGAAATAAGTTTTTCATCAGAAATTGGGTGTTGTGTGAACTTAAAATTTAAAATTCAATATGCAAAGCTGTGTTTCCTTACAAAATAAAAAAGTATGTATATTTATCATACTCAAGCAGTGTCTGAAGGCACAAAGAAACTAACGACTCAGATTTCCCTGGTACTCTCATTGTACCTGCTTCTTTCTTTAATTTGATTTATTTATTTATTTATTTATTTATTTATTTATTTATTTATTTATTTATTTATTTTATTATTTTTTTTACCTGCTTCTTTAGATTCTCTGTCTTTCCCTTAACCTACATTTAGAGCTCTATGGGTACTTCCCTATGACTGATTACCTAAGGAAAGAAAAAGAATATCACAGACCAGTTTATGTATGGATTGAATGGTATGTTGACATAATTTGGGCAGCTGTTTATTACAATCTCAATTTGCAAAGGCTAAATACAGATTACCTTGTAGGAGAAATGTCCTGTGATACAAAGGGGAAGTAGCAAAAAAAATGGAATAATGGGAGTTGGAAAGAACATGAATGTGAAGACTGGTGAAAGGAGGTCTGGTAGAGTATTCTGGGAATAGACCATTCAGAAAGAATGGAGTATGAAGATAATTGTGTCCCATAGAGAGGCTCACAAGAGCGTTTCTACTGTGGAAGAAGATCTCAGTAATAGCATAATGTTAAATATCCTAATTTTGTTCTGCATTGTTTAGTCATATGAATTAATGTTATTACTACAATAATGCTTCATAACAAATCACCTTGGGACTCAGTGGCTTACAACAATAAGCATTTTTAAATATAAGCTACCCTATTTGTAATGATTTTCAGTTGATATTTTTGTGTTTTGATACATAATTTTATCAACAGAGAATAGTACTTATTTTTTCCATTTCCTTTCTGACATTTATAATTCCTACCGCATCATTTTACTTCTAGATGACTTTAGAAGGCCTCTACTCTTGCAGTTTTTCCTCATTTTGTAATTTATAGAGTGGTTATACATAACCCAGTATATACATGGGTTGTAATGGGCAGGGTTTGTACTAAAACAATTATTAGTTTATAGAATGTATATTTTAATCCCTTTGCTAATAAATGAAGAAAGCAATATATTTTATAATGCAATATTAAAATAACATTAAATTTAGTAAGCTTCACAGATAAGTAATTTCTGAATCTAAAGTATTTCATATTATTTCTATTTCAAATAAATAGATAATTTATTTCTATTTCAGAACACGAGGCTTATTTGAGAGATATTATAGAATTACGATGGCATCTTGAAGATAAAGCTTATCAACTAAAACATTTTGAGGAACAAAAGACAAAATTAGAAGAAGCTAATGCAAAACTTCAAGCAGACATAGACTACATGAATAAACATGGTCCTCTAATTAACTCAAAGCACAACAAAGAACTTGAAACTCTCAAAGAATTTTATACAAAAAAATTTGAGGTAAATGGATAAATGAATGGATATGCATTTTATAGATTGTTATCTAGTTTAAAAAATAATACAGCTATGAGAAATTAACATCTTTAAATGTTTCATTTTCATTGAAAATGGACCTTCTATTTATTTCCTAAAGGAACTATTAAACTACACATAATACAGTCAATTGATAATCATTTAAATTTTGTCATCATCCCTTTTATACTTAGGAGTATTAGTAATATTTAGTCAACGTTTTAGAGATTTAAAACAACATGGTAATTTTTGAAGTTGTAAATCGAACTGGGGAAAATGCAAGTAGAATATATTAGTCACTTTCATGATAATAAAGTGTAAAATCGGGATCCCTGGGTGGCGTAGCGGTTTAGCGCCTGCCTTTGGCCCAGGGCGCGATCCTGGAGACCCGGGATCGAATCCCACGTCGGGCTCCCGGTGCATGGAGCCTGCTTCTCCCTCCGTCTATGTCTCTGCCTCTCTCTCTCTCTCTCTCTCTCTGTGACTATCATAAATAAATAAAAATAAAAAAAAATAAAGTCCCTTGCTATTAAAAAAAATAAAGTGTAAAATCTTTTTAATGGTTAATTAACGTTAACTCTCCTATTGTGGGATTGTACTATGGAAAAATTATTTATGCCTGCCACTAAGTGAGCAAATTTATTTCATATTCTTTTTTTTATTATTTTAAAGTAAATAGACTTGTTAAATGTGTCCTGTATTTTCAACTGTTCCATTTTCCTCCCTCGCTCTCCAAACACAACCTTATCATAAAAATCTGTTTGTGCATTTTGTATATTTTAATACATATATATGTGTATATATATTTAAGCACATGCATAATTTATTTTTTCTTCTTCAGATAGTATCAAACATTGTATAAGTTTCTGCTAGTTGTTTTTTAATCTGACATTGTTTTAGAGGTCAAGCTACTACTGTTCCTTTTATTCACTGTTTTGGATTTGACACCAAAAGCAAAGATAACGAAAGCAAAAATAAATAAGTATGGATACATCAACCTAAAAAGCTTCTGCATGACAAGAGGCGCTGTTAACAAAATGCAAAGACAAAATACTGAATGGAAGAAAATTTGCAAATCATGTATCTGGTACGGGGTTATATCTGAAATCAAGAACTTCATATAACTCAACACCAAAATAAGATAATATGATATAAAAAAGGCAGAAAATCTGAATAGATATTTTTCCAAAGAAAACATACAGATAACCAGCAAGTACATGAGAAGATTCTCAACACCACTAATCATCAGGAAAATACAAATCAAAACCACAGTAAGAGATCATCTAATACTTGTCAGAATGGCTAATAAATAAAACAAAAGCTAAAACTAGCTAAAATCAAAAAGACAAGAAATAACAGGTGTTGGCAAACTGTGGAGAAAAAGGAACCCTTCTACACTGTTGCTGGGAATGTAAATTGGTGCAACCACTGTGGAAAATAGTATGGAAGTTTCTCAGAAAATTAAAAATGGAACTGTTCTATGACTCAGCAATTCCACTTCTGGGTATTTATTAGAAGAAAAAACACAAACTTGAAAAGATGTGTGTATCCCCATGCTCACTGCTGCATTAGTCAGCAGTACCCATTATTATATACTCTGTTATATACCCATTATTATATTATATACCCATTATTATTATAGTAGCCATTATTGGCTGCATATTGGGTACCATATGCAGTACCAGTGCTAGTACCATAGCCAAGATACTGAAACAACCTAAGTGTCCATCAATGGATGAATGGATAAAGCTATGGTACACACACACACACACACACACACACACACACACACACAATGGTATATTACTCAGCCAAAAAGATGAAATCTTGCCATTTGCAACAACAGGCATGGACCTTGAGGGGATCATGTTAAGTGATAAGTCAGGCAGAGAAAAACACATACATGATCTCACTTATATGTGGAATCAAAAGAAAAACAAAACAAAAAACAATTTCAGGGATACAGAGAACAGATTGGTGGTTGCCAGATGCAAGAGTTAAAGGATGAATGAAAAAGGAGTCAAAAGATACAGATTTCTGGTTATATAACCAGAATGGTTATATAACCATTGGTTATATATACATTGGTTATGTAAACCATTGTTTACATAACCCCAAACAAACAACCCCCCCCAAAAAAAAACCCAAATAATATAAGATGGGCAGGGGACCTGAAAAGACATTTTTCCAAAGAAAACATACAGATGGCCAACATATATATGAAAAGATGTTTAACATCTCTAATCAGGGAAGTATAAATCAAAACCACAATGAGATATCACCTGACACCTGTCAGAATAGCTAGAATCAAAAAGACAAAAAGTAGCAAGTTTTGGCAAAGACATGGAGAAAAAGGAACCTTTATGCACTGCTGTGGGAATGTAAGTTGGTGCAGCCACTATGGAAAACAGTATGGAGGTTCCTTAAAAAATTAAAAATAAAAATACCATATGATCCAGTAATTTTACTACTGGGGATTTACCCAAATAAAACAAAAACACTAATTCGAAAAGATAAATGTACTCCAGTCTTATTGCAGCATTATTTACAACAGCCAAGTTATGGAAACAACCTCAATGTCCATCAATAGGTGAATGGATGAAGATGTGGTATACATATATACAGTAGAATATTAACCATAAAATTGAGATCTTGCCATTTGTGCCAACACGGATGGATCTCTAGAGGATATGCTAAGTGAAATAAATCAGAGAAAGACAAATACTGTATGATTTCACTTATATGTGGAATCTGAAAAACAAAACAAAACAAAAAGCCAGGAATAGACTGTAAATACAGAAAACAAACTGTAGTTGCCAGAGGGGAGGGAGTGGAGGTATAGGCAAATGAATGGAGAGGAATGGGAGGTACAGGCTTCTAGTTATGGAATAAATAAGTCACTGGGAAAAAAGGTACAGCATAGTAGGGGCTCCTGGGTAGCACAGTCAGTTAAGTGTCTGACTCTTGGTTTTGGCTCAGGTGGTTATCTAAGGGTCATGAGATTGAGCCCTGTGTCAGGCTCCATGTTCAGTTCAGTCTGCTTGCTTCCTTTCCCTCTGTCCCTCCTCTGCCTCTCTCTCTCATAAATAAATACACCCCCCCATTTTTTTAAAGTACAACATAGGGAACATAGTCAATGAGATTGTAATAGCATTTTATGGTTACAGATGGTAGCCACACTTGTGGTGAGCACAGCATAATGTGTAGATTTGTTAATACACTATGTTGTACCCTTGAAATTAACATTGTGTGTCAACTGTATATCAGTGAAAATAAGAGAGAAGAAGGATACTATCAGAAAAGTTAAAAAAAAACCCTATAGAATGAAAGAAAATATTCCAGGTTATACATTTCAGAACAGTGTAGTACCTAGAATATATAAAGAATTTTTTAAATTCAGCAACTCCAGACAAATAACCTGATTAAAAATGGACAAAAGACTTGAGTAGATATATCTCTAAAAGATGTAGAAATGGGCAGGAAACATTTGAAAAGATAGATATTTAACATCATTAGTCATTGGGGAAATGCAAGCCAAAATCACAATGAGATACCCCTCACACCCATTAGGGTGGGATTAAAAATAAAACAAAATAACAAGTTTTGATGTCTATGTGGAGAAATTGGAACTGTGGTACTTTGCTGATGGGAATGTAAAATGGTTGCAGATGCTGTAGAAAAGACTGGCATTTCCTCAGAGTTTAACACAGAATACCATATGCTCTAGCAATTATATACTCTGAGGAATTGGAAACTGATATTCAAAAAAACAAAAATTGTACATAAATGTTCATAGCATTTAGCAGTGTTTATATTAGCTCAAGGTGGAAACAACCCATTGTCCGTCACCTGATTAATGACTAAACAAAATGTGATATATCTTACACCATAGAAAGAAATTTTTAAAAATGAAATACTGTTATGTGTCACAACATAAATAAACTTTGAAGGGTTTTGCTAAATAAAGAAGCCAAATACAAAAGATCACATCCTGAAAAAAAAAAAGATCACTGTATGAAATATCCAGAATAGATAAATCCATAAAACAAAACAGATTGATTGCTAGTGGCTGGGGGAAGTGTAATGTAGTATTTTGTTTATAGTACTTTATCATATAACTTTATTTTATTTTGCTGTCTTGACTCAGTTTTGAGATCCTGGCTAGAGACCTGCTGAATTAACCAATTGTTTAATGAACACAAGGTCTCTAGCCAGTGTGCTTGAGTGCATAGCTATTTGTAAATCAAGCTCCAACGCTCTATGTTGCCTCCAAATTCTGCAAGTAGCTCAGCCTCATAATACATAGAAACGCAAGAGTATTATCCACATCAACTGGAGTATCAGTGGGGGATATATATACCAGTGCCACACAGACCCAACCCAAGAGGTTGCCTTAGAGATGAATTTGTCTCATGTTATGTAGCCTAGTTCCCAACATGGAGACCACCACCCCAGCAATGCCTACAGGTTACTCGTAAAGGTGCTGACAAATTGGACATGAGATATTTGATATTAGGAATTCTGTTATGTTTCCTGACCTCTTGTTTGCTTTGCTCATCATCCTGGTATACTCCTTGCTCTCTACTAGAATGTATACCCCTACAGTGCTGTGCCTGAAGAATAATCTTGTAGAGGTTATTACTTCTGTGCTATTCTAAAAGTTAATGAACATTATTGCTTTACCTGAAGGCAATTGCTTTATTTCAGTTCACCAACTGGCCCTGGGGGAGAAGACTATTTGTTCCCTAGTGCCTTATATTCTCCTCCCTCCAACTTTCCAGCAGGACATCCAGACTATAACCACCCCATCTCCATAGGTTGACAGAAAATAGAGAAATGAAGAGGGAAGGATAATGTATATGATGTTTGATAATAAAAACAATAAAAATGTAATATTTTGGACCCATTCATTAAGATAATAAAGATTATCCTGAGAGGATTGCAGTTGATTTCATTTTTTTTTCATCTGTGTTTTCTGCTTTTTCTATAATAAAGTATTATTTCACCAATAAAAAGTAGCAATTCTTCTGTAGTTGAAAAGATAATTATTTTATTTTGCTCATGTTACCTGGGATATTGAACTTATTTTCTTCAATAACATTTATACATCCCTAGTATTGCTGATTTTTAGGCTAATGGAAACCTGAAACTTTACTGTGCTAAACAGACTAATATGGGAAGAAAATCAATGTAAAGAGCTTTATCTTTAAATCCAAAACTACTCTAAATTTAAGTTCTTTCTCTGATCTTTCTGTGGCCTGATTCTTTTAATTACCCATTAAGTGCATGTATTAACAAAAATATTTTTCATTACTAGTTAATGGAACTATACAAACAAGTTCATGGAGAACTTGAAGAAGCTTTAGGAAATGTTGAAAATGCCAAACTGAGTGCTGAAAAAATTAGACAAGACATGGAAAAAGACATTCATGGTCATGAAACAAGCATAGAAGCCTACAAGTAAGAATTTTTCACTAATGCTGCTTATAGCCTTTCGAAGAAAAATATTGATTAAAATGTAATTTATATTCTTAGGTAAAATTTCAGATAAAGAACCAACCTAAATCACCCATATTTATCACCAATATAATATACATATGTAACATACATATGTATAGATTCCTAAAATACTATTTTTCTGACATTTTATTTATAGATTTTTAATTTTAATTTTAAGTTAAATAATTTTTGTGTTGTTAACATACAGTGTTATATTATTTTCAGGTGTACAGTATAGTGATATAACAATTCTGTACGTTACTTTGTGCTCATCATGATAAATGTACTCTTTAATCTCCATCACCTATTTCACCCATCTCCTTCCCCATATCCCCTCTGGTAGCCATTAGTTTGTTCTCTGTAGGTAAGAGTCTGTTTCTTGATTTGTTCCTGTCTGTTTTTTTTCCCCTTCACTCACTTGTTTTGTTTCTTAAATTCCACATATGAGTGAAATCATATCGTATTTATCTTTCTCTAAGTGACTTATTTTGCTTAGCATGAAACTCTTTAGCTCCAGCCATGTTGTTGCAAATGGCAAGATTTCATTCTCTTTCATGGCTGAATAATATTCCATTGTGTATATATACCGTATCTTCTTTATCCATTCATCTATCAATGGGCTGCTTCCATAATTTGGCTATTGTGCATAATATTGTAATAAACATAGGGGTGCATGTATCTCTTTCAATTAGTGTTTTGTATTTTGGGGGTATCTAACCCAGTAGTACAATTACTGGATCATAGGATAGTTCAATTTTTAACTTTTTGAGGAAACTCCATACTATTTTTCACAGTGGCTGCACCAGTCTGCATTCCCACCAAGAGTATACAAGGGTTTCTTTTTCTCCATTTCCTCACCAACACTTGTTGTTTCTTGTATTTTTTATTTTAGCCATTCTGATAGGTGTGAGGTAATACCACATTGTAGTTTTGATTTTCATTTTCCTGATGATGAGTGATGTTGAACATCTTTTCATGTGTCTGTTGGCCATCTGTAGGTCTTCTTTAGAGAAATGTGTTTTTGTGTCTTCTGCCCATTTTTTAATTGGATTATTTGTTTTCTGGGTGTTGAGTTCTTCATATATTTTGCATACTAAACCTTTAGCAGATATGTCATTTGCAAACATCTTCTCCCTATAATGTTTTTATTGCTTCTTTCACTGTCCTTCACAGAGAAATTATTGCCTGCTTTTATGGAATTTTATGGTTTTAGGACTCACATTTAGGTCTTTAATCCCTGTTGAGTTTATTATTGTATATGGTATAAGAAAGTGGTCCGGTTTCATTGTTTAACATACAGCTATCCAGTTTTCCTACCACCATTTGTTGAAGAGACTTTTTTCTTTCCTATTGTATTTGCATTCCTCCTTCGCTGAACAGTAATTGACCATATAATTGCAGGTTTGTTTCTGGGTTTTCTACCCCATTTCATTGATGTATATGTGTCTATTTTTGTGCCAGTACCATACTGTTTTAATTGCTACAGCTTTGTCGTATAACTTAAAATGGAATTGTGATGTCTCCAGCTATGCTTTTCCTTTTCAAGACTGCTTTGGCTTTTTGGAGTCATGTTTTTTACAATGTTTAGAATTGCTTGTTCTAGTTCTGTGAGAAATGCTGTTTGTATTTTGATAGGGATTGCATTTAATGTGTAGATTGCTTTGGGTAGTACAGACATTTAACAATACTTGTTTCCATTCCATGAGGATGGAATGGCCATCCATTTCTTTGTGTCGTCTTCAGTTTCTTTCATCAGCTTCTTATAGTTTTCAGAGTACAGGTCTTTCACTTCTTTGGTTAAGTTTATTCTTATATTATTTTTGGTGCAGTTATCAATGGGATCATTTTAATTTCTCTTTTTTTCTGCTTTATTGTTACTGTGTGGAAATGTCTGTTAACTAACTAGAGTTTAAATAACTTGAAACAAGAAAAAAATAAATACAGCAGATTTCTGCATGTTGGTTTTGTATTTGACTTTACTGAATTCATTTATCAAAACTAGCAGTTTTTTGGTGGAGTCTTCAGGGTTTTCTATATATTGTATCATGTTATCTGCAATAGTGAAAGTGTTACTTCTTTTTTAAAAATTTAGATGACTTTTATTTCTTTTTGTTGTCTGGTTGCTGTGGCTTGGACTTATAGTACTGTATTGAATTAAAGTGATGAGAGCGGACATCTTTGCCTTGTTTCTGATGGTATGTGAAAAGCTCTGTTTTTCCCCAATGAGTGTGATGTTCTCTGTGGGTTTTTCACATAAAGACTTTATTATGTTAAAGTATGTTCCCTCTACACCTGATTTGTTGAGGGTTTTTATCATGAATGAGTGTAGTGCTTTGTAAAATGCTTTTTTTTTTTTTTTGCTTTTATTGAAATAGTTTTTAACCTTTCTTTTATTGATGTGATATATCATGTTGATTAATTTTTTGAATATTGGACCACCTTTGCTTCCTGAGAATATATCCCACATCCCACTGGATTGTGGTGAATGGTTTGATTTTTTGTTTTGTTTGTTTTGTTTTTACTGTATTGTTGGAATTAGTTTGCTAGTATTTTGTTGAGAATTTTTGCACCTACATTTATGAACATTTATGAACATTATATTGGCCTATAATTCTGTTGTTTTTCCCCCATGTTTTTTGTGTGTGTGTCTTTATTTCATATTGGTATTAGGATAATGCTGGCCTCATAGAATGAATTTGGAAGTTTTCATTCCACTTCTATTTTTTGTAATAGTTTGAGAAGATTAGGTGTAACTCTTCTTTAAATGTTTGGTAGAATTTACTTCTGAAGCTGCCTGGTTCTGGACTTTTGTTTGTTTGGAGTTTTTTGATTACTGATCCAATTTTATTGCTGGTAATCAGTCTGTTTTTTTTTTCTTCCTGATTCAGTTTTGGTAGTTTATATGTTTCTAGGAATGTATCCATGTCTTCCAGATTGTCCAATTTGTTAGCATATAGTTTTTCATAATATTCTCTTACAGCTGTTTGTATTTCTGTGGTGTTGGTTGTTATTTCACCTCTTTAATTTTTGTTTTGTTTATTTGAGTCCTCTTTTTTTCTCTTTTTGATGAGTCTGCCTGGAGGCTTATCAATTTTGTTGATCTTTTCAAAAACCACTTTCTGGTTTCATTGATTTTGTTCCATTTCATTAGTTTCTGTATTATTTATTTCTGTTCTAATCTTTCTTCTTTCCTTCCTTCTCCTGGTTTTAAGTTTTGTTTGTTGTTCTTTTTCTAGCTCCTTTAGGTGTAAAGTTGGGTTGTTTATTTGATTTTTTTTCTCCTTGAGGTAGACCTGTCTTGCTATAAACTTCCCTCTTCAAATCATTTTTGCTGCGTCTCAAGGCTTAGACCCTTTGCTTTTATTTTTCATTTGTTTTCATGTAATTATTTATTTCTTTTTAAATTTCTGACTGACCCATTCATGGTTTAGTAGCATATTATTTAACTTACGTGTATTTGTGGTCTTCGCAGATTTTTTTCTTGTGGTTGATTTCTATTTTTATAGCATTGTAATCAGAAAACATGTATAGTATCATTTAGGTGTTTTTTTTTTAATTTGTTGAAGCTTTTTTTGTAGCCTAATATATGATCTGTTTTTGGAGAATATTTCTGTGCACCTGAAAAAAATGTGTATTCTGCTGTTTTAGGATGGAATGTTAAGGCCATCTGGTGCAGTATGTCAGTCAAAGCCACTGTTTCCTTGTTGATTTTCTATGTAGATGATTTATCCACTGGTGTAAGTGGTGTATTAAAATCCCCTACTGGGATCCCTGGGTGGCGCAGTGGTTTGGCGCCTGCCTTTGGCCAGGGCGCGATCCTGGAGACCCGGGATCAAATCCCACGTTGGGCTCCCGGTGCATGGAGCTTGCTTCTCTCTCTGCCTGTGTCTCTGCCTCTCTCTCTCTCTCTCTCTCTCTCTCTCTCTGTGTGTGACTATCATAGATAAATAAAAATTTAAAAAAAATAAAAAAATAAAATCCCCTATTATTATTGTATTACTATTGATTAATTCCTTTAAGTTTTTTTATTAACTGCTTTGTGTATTTGGGTGCTCCCATATTGAGTGCATAAATATTTGCAATTGCATATCTTCTTGGATTGTCCCCTTTATCATTATATAGTACCCTTCTTTGTCTCTTAGTCTTTGTTTAAAAATATATTTGTCTGTTACAAGTATTGCTATCCCAGCTTTCTTTTGAATCCATTTGCATGATAAATGTTTCTCCATCTCCTCACTTTTAGTTTGCATGTATCTTTAGCTCCAAAATGAGTCTCTTATAGACAGCATGTAGAATGGAACTTATTTTTTTATCCACTTTGTCATCTGTCTTTTTTTTTGAGTATTTAGTCCATTTATATTCAAAGTAATTATTGATAGATATATATATTTTGCCTTTTTTGTTTGTTTGTTTTGTGGTTGTTTTTGTAGTTTTTCCCTGATCCTTTCTTCTCTTGCTCTCTTTCATGGTTTGTTGGCTTTCTTTAATGATATACTTGGATTTGTTTCTCCTTATTCTTTACATATCTTTTACTGGTTTTTGATTTTTTTGGTTACCATTAGGTTTGTATAAACACCTTCTCCATATAGCAGCATATATTAAGTTGATGGTTGCTTAAGTTTGAACCCATTCTTTACTCCTTTCTCACCCATGTTTTAGGTATATGGTGTCATATTTTATGTCTTTTTATTTTGTGAAGCCCTTGACCCATTTTTATGGATACACTTATTTTTACTGCTTCTGTGTTTTCTATTTTTTGGACTCTCATTTATGATCTTTCCTTTTCATTCAGAGAGTCTTCCTTAATGTTTCTTGTAGAGCTGGTTTAGTGGTCATGACTCCTTTAGTTTTCGTTTGTCTGATAAACTCTTTGTCTCTCCTACTATTCTGAATGATAGCCTTCCTGGATATATTCTTGGTTGCAGATTTTTCCCTCTTAGTGCTTTGAATATATCATGCTA